AGTCGCAGTCGTAGGATTAGTCGCATTCGCAATGGTACAAGTAATATTAGTTGTAGTGATCGTAGTAGTAGTAGTAGTAGTCGAAGTAGTTTGGTCGTAGTAGTACCTTTAGTCGTTGTAGTGGTAGTAGCAGTAGTCGTTGTAGTAGTAGCGGTAGCAGTGGTAGTAGTAGTCGTAGTAGTAGTAGTAGTAGTAGTAGTAGTAGTCGTAGTAGTAGGAGTGATAGTAGTAGTCGTAGTCGTAGCCGTAGTCGTAGTCGTAGTCGTCGTCGTAGTAATAGTAGTAATAGTAGTAGTAGTAGTAGTAGTAGTAGTAGTAGTACTGGTCGTAGTTGTAGTAGTCGTACTCCTACCACTAATAGCACTAGTGGTAGCAGTAGTAGTGGTAGTAGTAGTAGTAGTAGTAGTAGTAGTAGTAGTAGTAGTGGTAGTAGTAGTACTAGTAGTAGTAGTAGTCGTAGTACTTGTAGTGGTAGTTGTAGCAGTCGTAGTAGTAGACGTAGTAGTAGCAGTAGTAGTAGTTGTAGTAGTAGTCGTTCTTCCACTCGTAGTAGTCGTTCTTCCACTAGTAGTAGTCGTAGTAGTCGTAGTAGCAGTGGTAGTGGTAGTAGTAGTAGTATTGTTTCTATTTGTAGTAACAGTATTATTAGTCGTAGTAGTTATATTTGTAGCAGTGGCACTCGCCTTGGTATCAGCAGTATTGGTCGTATCATGTGTATTCGTATTGGTGCCAGTAGTTGTAGGAATAGTAGTCGCCGTAGTAGTGGTAGTCGTAGTAGTAGTAGTAGTAGTAGTAGTAGTAGTCGTCGTAGTAGTAGTAGTAGTAGTAGTAGTCGTAGTAGTCGTAGAGGTAGTAGTAGTAGTAGTAGTAGTAGCAGTCGTAGTAGTAGAGGTAGTAGTAGTAGTAGTAGTAGTAGTAGTAGTAGTAGGTGTAGTAGCAGGTGTCGGAGTAGGACCAGTAGTCGGTGGATGAGTAGGGGTTGTAACTGCAGCCGTAGTCGTAGTAGTAGTAGTAGTACTAGTAGTAGTAGTAGTAGTAGTAGTAGTAGTAGTAGTAGTAGTAGTGGTAGTAGTAGTAGTAGTAGTGGCAGTAGTAGTAGTA